CCCGCGGCCTCGCATTCTGCACGCCTCCCTCCTCCCCCCCTGCCAGCAACAGGCTGCCCCCTCCCCTGAGCAACAGGCTGCCGAACAGCAGACAAAAGCAGCCTCTCCGCCCCTCCTCCCCCTATACATGCTGGGCTCCCTGGGCAAACAAAGACTCCACCAAAACAAACAAAGTGCTGGCCTCATTGTGTTAGCAAAAAAGGACCCTCCTCCTAGAACCCTGGGTGGTGTGTGGAAATAAAGCTATTAGCTCAAAGCATGGTGCAGAGCTGTTTGGTATTTGATGAGTTACTCCTTTAGTCCTGAGTTTGTCACAGGGACAGAAATAGATGTGAAATCTTCTGAACAGGGGAACAGACAGCAAAACAAACATTAGAGGGGAGTTAACCTTTCCCTATGCTATCCAAAACTAAAAAAAATGTTTGGCTAGAGTTTCCCATACAATATGTACCAGTTCCGACTTATATACAAATTCAACTTAAGAACAAACCTACAGTCCCTATCTTGTACGTAACCCGGGGACTGCCTGTACTAGCTGTCCCTTTCTCCACTCCTATTCCCTGCTTCTTCAATGGGGTTACAGCTGTCCCAGTCCCCATCTCTGGCCCCTGCTAGCAGACCACTCCCTTTCTGTTTTATGAGATACAACTGCATTCCAGGCACATCCCACTGTCCTGGCACAACCAAATCTTTCCCTTGTTTAAGTTATGATAAGTGGAAGCTGCAAATTCGATGGTTCTAGTTCTCACTGTTTAGGAGGAGTTCTTGAACAGACTCACAGATGTATGGACAGACAAACTCTCTCAAATATATAGAAGCTCTCACTCCTAAGTATAGCAGACACATCCACTGCTTCAAAAGGCTCATGAGAACCCACATTATGGTTTCCATATTGTACAGTCCGTCAGACACATTTAGATTTTTGCATTGCTCAAATCAGAAACTAATCTATGGATACAATTTTCACAAGAGCCTATCTGACCAAGGAACCTAAGTACCATTTTCAAAATTGAATTATGCACTACATAGACTAATTTTAATGAGGCGCTAATACTTAATAGTAACAGGATGTAACACTAATAAAGTTGAATCTGGGTATAATTTTCAAAAGGATCTAAGTGACTTGGCACTATGCATATATGTCTAAAAGTCTTTAGCATACAGGTGATGAACCAGATTCTACTCCCATTTACGCTGACAATTTCATTGAGAAAAATGGTGTTGGACTGAGGTAAAACAACAGATTTTGTTCATAAAGCTCTACACTAAGGTAGGAATTTTAAGTGGGTGACATTTTCATTTGGCTCCTTGGGCAGTATTGCGTTTCAGTACCTAACTATCTGTAGATTCAAGAACAAAGAATACCACTTTCATGCCTAAACCATTCTCAATCTTTCACGTTAGCCTGTAAATATAATGTCTCTATTTTATTAGCATATTTACCTGGTGTTGCTCAGGTCATTAAGGAGGGGCTCAGGACAGGGGGATGAAGGTGTAGGAGGGTTCAAGGCAGGGGACTAGGGCTGTGGGGGTGCAGGGTTGGGGATGAGGAGGGACCCAGGGGATTGGGCTGGAAGTATGGGGGGTTCAGGAGTCAGGGATGGGGGTGAGTAGGGCTCAGGGCAGGTGGTGGGAGCTCAGAACAGGGGGTTCAGGAGTGAAGGAAGGGGGCTGGGAGATCTGACGCCAGGCTCCCAGCAGCATTTCAAAATGGCAGGGCCACATGGAGTCTGGGATCAGCAGGGGACTCTCCCGCTGACCCCGGGCTCCACATGGCGCTGCAGCTTTAAAATGCTGCGAGGAGCCTAATGCTGGGCTCCCGGTAGCGTTTCAAAGCGGCAGCGCTGCACAGAGCCCAGGGTCAGCGAGTGTCCAGCTAACTCCAGGCTCCACACAATCATTTCGCCTTTGATGTGTAGCAAAAGGTGGAGGCGACCTATCGACTAATCCAATAGTTGATGCAAAATGCAATGAGTATTCGATTACTCGCTATTTGACATCCCTAATTTGATAGCAGGGGGCTGAGGGTTTGGGGATGTAGGGGGCTCAGGGCAGGGGATGGAGATGTGGGGAGTCACTCACTCATCAAATGAAGTGGGTTTTACCCCCAAATGTTCATGATGCTACATATTTGTGTTGGTCTCTAAGGTGCCACAGGACTACTTGTTGATTTTAGAGTAACTTGTTTTTCTAAGGCAGACGGCAGGAACCTGTGAAAATTGGTTGGTGCTTGGAATCAGTGGCAACGCTTTTGAACAAAGCCAAAATCTCCTGACTTGCTGTGTAATCCTGAGCAAGTTACTTAGAACTTTTGGGTGCCACTCAATCTGAGACTCCAAGGGATTGATTTTTAACCATGCTGAGAATCTACAATGACAACTGAAATCAACTACACAGAGACAGCTACACAGACTTTGTTTTAATTGCTAGTTGTTCCCTCTTAAAAACTGCCATGACATGCCTATTTTTTACCAGCATTTTTCTGCAGAACACCACTGAAATGAATCAGACAGCAGTGTGCACGTATACCTGCAACAGGCAAGTGTTTGATGTCCTAGATGTGGTTGATATGGCATTCTGTAACCAATGGGTTAAAGCCATGTTTCCGTACCCAAGCACAGCATACTGAAATATACTTAATTATAACCTTGACAGAAACAAAATAATATCATGGTCTGAAGCGTTGCCAAAGCAAACTTTATACAAAGGTCAGCTGGAAAGAACGTCAGGATCCCAGTTAATTAGAAGCACATCAACAGTGCTCGAGCATTGCTGAAGCAGGGCTGCTCCATACTGCACAAGGGGGAAGTCTTAGCCTCTAAGCAGCAAAACAGCTCAAACAATACCATGACTCTCTGTTGCCTTTTTCATTTTGTGATGGCATCCTCAAGTTATCGCTGATTACTACAGCACAGGATATTAACTTCTCTAGAAGTAGGTGTCACTTCCATCCCAGAATCATTCCATCTGCATTTTAGATTGGTCTATTTATATATATTTAACAAGCCCGAGAAGGTAATGGGTTGCAACACAGACACCACATACTGTTTTCTGGTTTTCATTTCAAAAGATCCTGCTTGAGTAGTGTCACCAATCACCTGTCCACCTCTTACTTATGAAATTAGTTTCTAATTCTTCCAGGGCCATCAGCTGGAAAGTGAGATGAACTTGGGGAATTCACACAGCACTTTATAAAAATGCACTCTGTATGGAGTCAACCTTTTCCTGAAACCTCACAGCCTTGTGCACACTGCATTCAAGTAGATGACTCAACACTCGGCAGCAAATTGTTCTGTCCTTTTTGCTGAAGTACTTTGTCTTACATGCCCAGCATTAAACTTCTTGCCACTTTACTCATCGCCTTAGTCACAGATATGGAAGGATGGCACTGGAATGGCATGATCAGTACCTGCTACCAGACTCTTTATGTGACTGTCTCCCATTTCTGCCCAATGAATTCTGCTGTGGGTGTTTCATTTATTTTAGTTTCTTACTGGATGTGTGTGGTCTGAGGTCGTCTGGATTCATCAGGTTCCCCTTTTTTCATTCTCTTGCCTCCCATATTTTTCAGAAAAAATAGACATTGAAATGAGTGTTTCAAGACTATTTATAAGACACAGACATATGACATTAACCCTGGAGGCTTTATCTCACAACATTATAAGACAGGAATAAAATTATATGTGCACAAGGTGTTTTAATTCCTAGACAAATCTCTCCTAAGCAAACCTCTGTCACTGTCAATTCTTAGTAACTACTATGTTCAGAAACAAATGCATTATTAATTAAACATAGAGGAGAAAATGTGGCACATGAATACAAAATGCAACAGTGAAGATTTCTACTAGGTAATATAAGGTATCTATTCCACATAACACAAACCAGGTTCCTTAGCACACCATGAGGCCCAGGGCCCTGTCGGTGGCCTGCCAGCTTGGCGGGAATCCAATCGAAACACACCAAGCCTTTATCCAGTTCTAACACCAATTCCCTACAAAACTCTGGA